TAGCGACTTGACCTATCCGGTTAATAATACGCAACGTGAGCATTCAAAAACATGGTGGATATCGTATCGGCTGTTTACATGTGACTGAAATCATTCGCTTACGGGAAAACTAAGTTGAATTTTACTTGCATTTTATAACAATTCAACAGATTTATTTTTCGTGCGTTATTGTAATCACTACTAGATAATAATAATCACCAATATCAACACTTCGAAAACAAGTAAGTTATTCACTTGTGACCCGCAGCATGGCCGGATCGAGCTACCGTTCTGTGATCATTTGCTACTAAGCAGTGCATTAGTATTTTTATATGAAACTTCTGTTAGAATATATTTTTCGTTACCAAGAAAATTAAAAAAATAAATGCATATTACATTAAAAATACTGAGTATTTTTTGTTTCATGTGGAAAATTTTTTTGATTGACTAATTTTTCAACATTTCGTAACGCCTATTTTAGAACCAAAATAAGGCCTTATACTCTTCCCCGATGCCTATTCAAGAGATTGTACGGTGTATTGTTTGTTTTGTGCATGTGTTGTGGACAAAACATGACCACGCCCATTTAGTGATTGCAATATGTACGTAATAGAAACCGCACCCCGAACTTGAGCTTTTGATCCCAATTTTTAAATTGATACATTGTAATATAAACCGCGGTTTATAATAGGACTTTAACGGTAGTCATTTTGACTGACCAGAGTCTATGGTGGGTAATTGAACGTAGTGAATTTTACTGAATATTACGATCATGGCATCTAGGTTTTGTCGCATTAAAAATAAAATGATGGTTGTACTGAAAAATGTAGGTATCTATGGAACTTTATCTATGGAAGTCTTTAATAGTTTCACTATGCTACCGGTAATATACTTACCTGCCAGCCATTTGAATACCAAGGGATTGTGGGTAGTTACGCATGGCAACAAGCACCAACTAAAGAAAAAAAAAAGATGAAGTGTAGATGTATTACAAATGTGTACTCTGCTGGTTGGCTGGTTGGCAGAAGACATATTGTCATGAATTTTATGAGTCAGGAAAAATAACAACTTTATAGCAGTGAAGATTCCACCAGAATCATTAAGACAACAGCGTTTGTTTCAAATAGTATCAAAATGCGTAATGTAATGTAATTAATTATTGATTCAGACAAACAAACAAGTAAATAAAAACAAAAGATGTGTTGAAATAATTTTTATAGCACTTTGTTCAGGCAATGAACGTCCTTTTACAAATCACCCGAAAGTCATAGTGAAATAAACAAGCAGCCTCTCGACTGAGATAGCTCCGCTATTTTTAATAAACTAACAGCAGTTAAAGAGAATAATCTGATTAAGACCTGGCCATGGCTAAATAGCATTGAAGATATAGAAAGAAATATAAAGATAAACAAAAGTCAATTCACTAATCTGTCTGAAAGAAATATTGAAAATTTGATTGTAAAAAGTGA